TAACAAGCCGTTGGATTCATTCATCATGGAATCATGGAGTAATACAAGGAACGAATATGATGCGTATATACAATGGATAGAATATTCTCTATTGTCAAACGTGCAAGAGGCGACATTATTGCGCCATGGATGCACACACGTAGCAGATTGGTTAGACTCGACAACGAATAAATTGACTCGTGTATCACTCAAAAAGATAGTTGACGAACAAAACGACCAGGTGTTTGATTTCCATCAGGTAAATTATTTCATACTGACATGTGAACAATGCAAATACTGTTTAAACTTGCAATGACTGTATTTAATTGCTCAAACAGCTAACCAAGGAACATCCAGATATATCAACACCTGATAATGTTTGGATACTTGGGATTACTCAGGTGCCATCTACTCGCGAATATTATTTAGTTTTCTACCACAATATACATGCATTATTGGACAGGTTTATACAAAATAATAGACGCGTAAACTACATGCAATATAGCAACTTTCGTGAATTGAAAGAGATCGGATCTGATGGTCATGGAACAGTTTATACTGCTGAGTGCACAGTAATACCAGGTATAGTTGTGCTCAAACGGTTTAAGAGTTTTGATGGAATTCCGGAATTATTTATTAATGAGGTAAGCAATAATCGGTAATATCAATTAAAGTGGTATTTAATTTGATGCTGTATTCATTTTCATTTCATAGTTCAGAAGTCATGCCAGGTGTTCTAAGACAGTTTATGGAGTGACACAAGATCCAGAAACAAAAGAGTACATGATTGTTATGCAATATGCTACCAATGGTAGTCTTTTGTCTTTCTTGGATAATAATATTAACAAATTGACGTGGAAGAAAAAATTACAGTGTTTGAAGCATATTGCACAGTCTCTGCATCTTATTCATGATTCAGGATTAGTACATTGTAACCTTCATGAAAGAAGCATTGCTTTCTGTTATGAAACTCCATTGATATACGATTTCGACTTCTCACGATCGGTGAATTCACGTCAACGAATTTCAACCCTTCGAGGCGCTTTACCCTTTATTGCACCAGAAGTCTTCCGTACTCGCAAATTTACTCAGAAATCAGACGTGTATTCTTTGGGGATTATTATGTATTTAATGGCTGCTGGTGAATCGCCTTTTAGAAATAGGCAATCTGATGAAAGTTTAATGCGCGATATTATGGGTGGACTACGACCGTCTATGCCTGATTCCGCACCAGAGGAATACAAGAAACTTGCCGAGCGATGTTGCGATGCTGATCCTGATGAGCGTCCTGATGCTGACAGACTTGGGTGGGATATCAGCAACCTTATTACAAAGGTGGACAAAGACGATTCTATCAGTAATGTATGGAATACTATCTATCATAATGATGTTAAACCCTTATCGGGTCTCGAGGAGAGTAAGTAGTCTGATAAGCTCTTGCCTACTGGAGATTTGTGAAATAATTATGATTCAGTCGCAGGTATGAAGACAGCGATTGGTTGTTAATGAAGTCGATCTATAATATGATGTAATGACTCGAACATATTCTGAATAGACTTGTAATTCAATAATTTCGTCCTCTTTAGTTAATTAAATAAATATGATATGCCCCTATGTGGTTGAGTTAAAATAAATCGTGCACATTTACTGTTAGCGGCTTGCCGAGTAGTAACTTGAATAGTAAACACAGAGTACATCATTTAAAGTTTATGAAACCGGTAGTAAGTTTGATGCTAAAAAAATGCGTAGCTACATTCGGATTCTGTTCGACGGACGGTGAAGTTTGCATTGTCAATTCAGCACCCGGCCAGATGATGCTGCCTCCTAGTATTGTTTTCATAGTCAAAACCAAATCTTACTCAAATGACTCGTGGAGGCAAGCTTAATTCTTCACGGCCATTGCCTTCATTAACGTTGGATAATAATACTGGCGTTTAAATTCTTGATCGACGCAACAGCCACTTCATGCCAACTGGAGACGCGATAAAAACAAATCCTGGCCTGCTCGAAACCTTTCCGTTGAGGAATTCTGATATTCACCCAAGAACCTTAATTGCTTGTCTAGCCAATGGACCGGAACCAATACAAAAGGCAGGCGGAACATTAAATGAGCTGAGAATGAATGACGCAATTATAAAAAATGTTATTAAACATGAACGTAATAATTAACTAGTCAGATTACTTACAAGTGTAGAGTGCTTTGGCTAGATATGTAAGCTATTCGCGTCAATTTTCGTACACAAATATATCGCGAGTAATATATCGCTACTTTTTCATGATATTGCTGCATAACTTTGACGCTTAAAGATGCAAGTTTTAACGGTATCCAATAAAACTTGCCATGCCTTCAAGTCAACCATGAGAAATAACGTATACCAGCCAATCGCCACAATAATATGTCAGATCGAAAACGCATTCCCTCATGTCCATGTAGTGGCTGTAAGCTAATATTCAAATCAACCGTCCCGTTGTCCAAATAGACCAACTTGCATCGCTTAAGCTTTATTAGCTGAAGGCAAGGAATGCAAGGGGGTCCCGATTGTTGCACCGAATTGCGCCTGCTTTCGACACTTGAGCGACTTCTTCGGTTATGCCCCGAACCCCCCCAGTGACCAGAACTAACTCACACATTTTAAACCAAGTTTCGAATGGTACGCTCTGTCTTTAAGTTTACAGGAGAAAAAAAAAGAAAATTAGCAAAAAAAAAAACGAATAGCAAAAACAAATTCATAGAAAATCGACGCACGAGTTACCGTAATGAATGACGTGATGGTTGCTCTAATATCGTAGCTCATAAGTTGGTGTCTTGTTGTCCGAAGCAACTTATCCAGAGTCTCTAAATTCATCTTCTGTACTTCTACGTAAGAACCTCTGCATTTTGTTCATCAAGGCTACAAGAAGTTGCATTTGTATTTTTTTGCAATCCAACTTTGCTAGCACACAATATTGCCAAAGTCATTGATTCATCAATTCGATGTGTGTGGTTCGCTGTAAATGATAAATGAGATATCGGGCTAGGAGAGGTTCGCGCGCATCCAAAGACGGGAGCATAATTTTCGATTCTAAAATTTATTCATACTATTGAGTTTTGCCGTTTAGACGAGCTGCATAAAGACATGAAATAATTATCATAATACTCACATACCCTCATAAAACCCCATTAGGTGTTCTTTCGTGATCACATTTCACAATAAGAGTAGTTTACTGGTGTTCTACTGGCAAGAGCACTCAAGGCGCGTATAAAGCACAATCCAAAAACGTGAATCATTTTGATGGATAATCCGAAGCATCGTTGCAGACCCAGAAGACAATGAAAGTACGATGGCGCGCGCTTGGGCATAAAATAAAAAACGAAGCTTCTTGTCGGAGAGATCGACGGGTTGACTCAACGCTGTTGTTGAGTGAAGCAACTACCGATTTGTTGCAAATTGCAATTGAGAGAGTTTTCAAGCAAGATAAATTTCAATCTGATATAAGGCTTACGAAAACTCCATTTATTACCTGAATCGACAATATAATTTGTTTTCTGCAATTGCCAGCGCAACAGCACTTGGAAGGATGGCTCGTCAGAATAAATCACGCGGTGTAGTTCAATGCAGTAAGCGCCCATACAATTGTAACATTAATATGCTCGTACAACAGTTATTAGCCGTTAAAAATGTGCAGCGAACAAGGCCAAGGCCTGACCATGCGGAAGTCATCATTGCCGCATTGTTCGCTGGCTTGCATTCCGAAATCTTCTCAACCAAGTTCCATTAAGAGTGTTTCAATAACTGGTGGGTGAATGCGGTAGTGCGTAATAACAATGCTATGGTATTCCGTCAGAAATTGTAGCAAGGGGTCGAAACATATTTGTCGCGATCGATTTATTAAAAATTTCTCGCCCCAAGCCACTGCTATCACTTTGTCGTACCTATAAGGAAATACGTGACACAATTCATTCGAACGCGCATTGAAGTTTTCCGACCCTCACTCTCAGGTCGCCTTATTTAAACGTCTGCACAGAGTTGCATAGATTGTAAAGCCATAGAGTCAACTAGATCCGTGGAAGAAGAAAAACGAGTGACAATTGCAGAGGAGAAAGAAATAAGTATGTCTGATACAAGGCTTGGACTTTCAAAGTCATCAAAGACATATGGGGAAAATGGGGCAGATATATGCGTCTAGTGAAATGCGAGGATCTCTAGAAAAACGTGAAACCTGTCTTGAAAGGCTCTTTCGAACAACTTTATTTAGCAGTTCGACCAGGATGAATGGAGCGACCAAGTGATAGGTCACATGAAGAGGTTTTGGTGGTTTACCTGTTATTCGCTTGCATAGTTAAATTAATTCCATAATCAATTCTTTTAGATTCAGCGGGAACAAGTAATGAAGGCTCGAGTACTTGGGCAAATCTGACATGCGCGATCAAGTGTGGAGAATGCCTCGAAGCAATATTCAGAAAACTTTCTCATACTAAACGTTGATGAGTAGCCATAGCATTCATGTTCAGCGGACGACCTGACTTCCCGAAAGCGCATATGGCAACAATCTTAGCGATACCACACCGTCAAGCCGACAGTGAGTAGGCATCTTGATAGGCGATTCAGCAAGCCATCACGATTAACAAATTTGGCATAGATAATGATATTCGGCTAGAGATTATCGTAAATCAAATCTTGATGTTTCTTATCGGATCGATGACGAACAACACCCCAATATTTCATTCACAAAGCAAATCTTTGATTCACGTGACTAACGTTTATAACGCAAGTTAGTCACTGCAGGCTTTATTGCCATCTCGTACAGTTCGGAAGAAACAAGAATGATAGAACGTAGTTGTTTCTAATAAATTAATAAAATCTACAGCTGTCACCGTATTTTGTATTGTGTTTACTGTCAACAGCGATGGGGATTGTAACCTCTATCAGAGTATGAATCGACTCTGAACTTGTGTCTTAGAACAAGAGTCGAAAGAAAAAAAGTTAAGAATGTATGATACCACAAATAATCCGTCAATTCTATAAGTTCGTCGTTATTCGCTAATTCCATAGCAATAACGAATGAATTGTTTTCTTAATATTCTTGAACGTATTAAGGAACTCGGAGACAGAATATTCGAGAACGGTACATCCACCTAATTGGACCTTCTCAAGCGTTCTGCTATGTTGTTTCAACGCATCCATAATCGGATTCGCACAGGGACCAAAAGCAAATAAAGAAAATTCCTTTAATGACTTTTGCTTCTTGATGATTGATGCAACTTTGTCGTTCATGTCGCTTTGTTCCTTTGGACTTGCACATAGTAACTTCACCGAGAGTTTGTTGAGATCGTGTTGATAACGGGCAACATCAGATAACCAGTCTGATGGACCTTCAACGTTGATTTTCTTCTGATACATACAAGTATTGAGACTCCTCAATCTACATTTTCTCACAAACATGTTCATCATACGTGAGAATAGCAAATCCGTATGCTCAGACATATCTTCATTACACAGCCACTCTTCTAGCCTCTTGTACAAGACTGAATCGACAACTTCCCTAGTGAAAGAGACGTAATCCACTGTCAAATTCGAGGCGGGCAGATGAATTCCGTGAGCAACGAAGGTTTCTTTATCTTCTTCTAACAAACTCATCAGGTAAACCTCGATCGGACCGGTACCACAGTCGTTTGAAGGACTGTATGGGGCACGATAGAGAACAGCGACGGATGCGTTGAACCATTGTCTGTTGGTCAGCATGCAACTATGCAGAGTTGCCAAATCGTCGGAGAGATATTCGACAATGATACTTATAACTTCGGAAGGAAATAAAGAATGTCGGGGTGTAAGGAATGTTGACATGATTAGGGGGGGGGGGAGAGAGAGAGAGAGAGATGTGGATAAAGATACGAGACCAGTAACGAGTTGGCAAGGACATTTAAAGTTGTGTGGTGATCCTTGTACGCGGCGGCAAACCAATAAGATGGCGCAAACAGATATTCTAATTATGACTACCCTGGGGTTGACATCAGTGTCGGGCAGAGAATGCAAAATGCTTACATTAAAGTAATGTAATGTGTTACCATATATTGATATCATAAAATTTGATTACATATTGAAGGGGGGGGGCCTCACTACTCTCGTTTTCAACAGTTAATACCTCAAAGAGGCAACTAAAATTTCCCCTCTCAAGTCCAAATCCCTAATACTAAGCATGCATAACTTCCCTGAACACGTACTTCTCACGTAAATTTATATTCTTTTATTTCACCTCTCACTATCTAGGTTACAATAGGTAGCTGATGTTAAAACTAGCTGTAGCACATATGTGTAGCCTAATAGTAAACAGCAACTAATCTCCAAATTTAGACTGTCATTTGAGGACAAGATATTGTAACAATAACATACATTCGAGTTTAGTAAAATTGTGTGTCCAGTTTTACTGATTACTAACCGTGATGGCCAAAGTATAAAACTCAACACAGAAGCAGTCGCCCCTGCATGTATGCTTTTTTATTTATGCTAGCCCCTTATCGATCTCTATCTCCACAAATTTTGTTTGAGATTTGTGAAACGATTCCATGATCCAAATAATCGGCTATTCCCCCCCCCCCCCCACCACCCTTTCTCAGTAACCCAAGGACGTTCTGCAATTTAATTTTCACATTGTTAACAAATAGCAATTAATTGTGTATATGAGATTCTTTGATTAGTTGACCAACATGATTCAAACCCGCGGTTTTTGTCATCAAAATGTCGCTGACCAATTGTCATTCAGGACCACTATTAAAATGAACTCGGATGTCCAGTAGAAATCCATCCTGGTGTCATTTCCAAGTGAAAAAAGGTTAAACTGGAATGGTTGTGTTATGGAAGAAACGAGTTCTTTATACCTTTGCTTCAGCATGGGAGATATTATCGTTTTCAAAAGATGGACAAACCCAAGAAAATCCGGGTTAATACAATTGACTAACCTTTCTTGTAGTCATCGCTTTTTTTTAAGCATGAATAAATGTGCATATGGAAAAAGTCCATATGGACTTAAAATTCCGTCGCATGTGTTTATGCATATCTATTAACGTGTGACAAACTTGTTTATTTTCAATATAGAAAAACACGAAAGATGTCAAAACGGATATTTTAATTCAGCCATTGCTTAACCAACTTTGATAAACAAGACTAATCAAACTACTTACGAGTGTCTCATACCTCCAACATAAACTTTTCGTTAGCTTCTCTACACGTACTTTCAGGAGCATTCTCTCGCTTGGCAAAAAGATTCATATGTTTTTGAATCACTGTCTCGTCAAATTGCCAATCGACTCCCTGGGTATGCTTTTGAATAATATCAAACACTAGGCCAGTTAATACCAGATGAGTGAAAGTATACACAGTGAAAGTCGATATAACGGACTGCTCGGGACCAGTACTTTTGTCCGTTATATTGACGGTCCGTTACAT